CCAATTGGGACGTCTTCTCACACGATCTTATTGACGAGTTGTTGGAGCTTCAGAATTCTCTGGTTCTTGTTCATCTTGTGTTGGTTCTGCTTCAGAAGAATCTCATTGTTCAACCTCTTTTTCCACATGTATCTATGTAGTCTCTGAATTTTTAGTGCTATCATCGTCTTCTTTTCTTTGTAGCTTATCTTCTACAAAGATGACATCCCTGCTGATGATCACTTTACGGGCAGTGGGATCCCACAAGCGATACCCCTTTACTCCATCAGCATACCCCAAGAATTTGCATTTCCTGGATTTTGGATCCAACTTTGAGATTTCTTGGGAGTTGTACATCACGTACACAATACTTCCAAATATATGGAGGTTTGAATAATCAACTGGTTTACCAGTCCACATCTCTATTGGTGTCTTCAGCTCTATTGCAGTTGATGGAGCTCGATTCACCAAATAACAGGCGGTATTGACAGCTTCTGCCCAGAATGATTTTTCTAGGCCTGCATCCCTCAACATTGCTCTTGTTCTTTCTAACAAGGTTCTATTCATCCGCTCTGCCACTCCATTTTGTTGAGGAGTGTTTGCCACTGTGAACTGTCTTTTGATGCCTTCTTTCATGCAAAAGTCATCAAATTCTTCGCTTGTGTATTCTCCTCCATTATCTGTTTTGAAACACTTGATCGTATTTACAGAATCAAGTTCCACCCGCGCTTTGAAGTTTTTGAAAGTGGAAAACACATCTGACTTCTTCTTAATGGGGTACACCCAACATCTCCTGGAGTAGTCATCAATAAATGAGACAAATTATTTTGCTCCGCCTAGGGATGTAACTGGTGCTTGCCATACGTCAGAGTGAACCAATTCTAAAACACTTTTTCCTCTAGAATTTGATGTGTTGAATTTTAACCGGTGTTGATTACTTGTTATGCAATGCTCACACAAAGGAAGTGATACCTTTGTTAAGCCTGGAAGTAGCTTCTGCTTCTACCAAAGTCTCTCCCTTCAGCATGTACAAGTTTGCAGCTATCTTTTCACCTTTCAGCACCACAAGCGCTCCACGGAACACCTTCATGATTCCTTTCCGTGTTTCAATCTTGCTTGCATTATTATCCAACAATCCGTAGGATAATAAATTTTTCTTCAGGCCTTTCACGTGCCGCACATCTCGAACAACTTTAATTGTTCCATCATACATCTTCAATTTGATGGTTCCCACGCCAATGATCTCTAAGGCATGATCATTGCAACTATACACAGATCCTCCTGAGACAGGTTTATAATGATGGAACCATTCTCTTCTTGAGGTCATGTGATATGTTGCTCCCGAATCAAAGAGCCATATGTCTGCATATCTCTTTCTACATTCCACGGTGGTTGACGCTTCACAATATAGAGCATCTCCATCATCTGAAGTGTTTGCGATATTGCATTGTGGATTGAAGTTTTTATTTAGACTCCAACAATCCTTCTTCAAATGACCCTTCTTTCCACAATTGTAACACTTTAAATTCTTCTTGCTCCTTGACTTCGATCTACTATATTTGTGACTGCTGCTTTGGCCACGTTCTGTTGATCTCCCTCTCATCGTTGTCAATGCTTCTGCTTGTTGCAGATTTACTTGTCTGTCTTCCTTGTTCTTGCGCCGATTTTCTTCTTGTAGAACAGCAGCTGCAACGTCATCGAAGACTAGACTGGTGACATTACTATTTGTCAAGTTGATGATGAGTTGATCATACGAATCCGGTAGACTTTGAAGTAGAAGTTCAGCACGTTCTTGTTCTCCTATTTTACAGCTTAAGGATGTAAGCTGAGAAAATAAAGTGTTCAGCGTGTTTAAGTGCTCCGTCACTGAAGTAGATTCTGGCATCCGGAAAGTGTACAATTTCCTCTTAAGGAAACTTTTATTGTGCAACGATGTTGCCTCATACAATTTGGTGAGATGATCCCATATCTCCTTAGATGTCTTCTTCTCCTCGATGCTTGGCAATACTTCATCTGCTAATGCTAGATGAAAGTTTGACATAGCATTCCCGTCCATTTCGATCCATTTGTTGTCATCTGTGAAATCCACCGGCCTTTCACTGATAGCTGCTAGACAACCGTCTTTCCTCAGGATGACCTTCATCTTCAATTTCCACAATGAGAAATTTCTCCCATTGAATTTTTCAATATCAAATTTCGTTGCCATAGCTTCTTTTACGGATAGCTCCCACTATTTCACTATCGTGAATAGTTTTCTAGAACCTTCAAAAAATGGGTAACAACTTCTTATTTTCTTATGTTGGAGGATCTACCTTTTGGTGGCAACCACAAAGACAGTAAGCAGATATTACACACTCAAATCTGGCTTTGATACCAATTGTTGCAGAAGACGGCTATCGGATAGAGCAAAATCGCAATTGATAGTTTGAGAAAATAAAAATGAAGATAAAAAGAGACACAAAATTTACGTGGAAAACCCCTAAATAAAATAGGGTAAAAACCACGGGCAACGGTAGAAGAATTTCACTATGAGAAAAATAGGAATTACAACTTCTCTCGATCTACCAAGGAGAAAACAATGATAATTCCCTCTTAATAAAAAAAAGGATAAAACAACTCTCAAGAAACTCTCTAAATTCTCTCTAGTATTGGAAGAAAGCTGGAATGTTTTGGGATGGTTTTGAAGTTAAATGAGCTAGGGTATTTATAGTTGAAACTTGAGAACTAATCTTGTAAATACCCTAAAGTTTAGGGACTCAATTTAGTAGTTATGCCTTTATTATTTCAACAATTTGCAGCTACTTTATTGACTCCACAATTCCACTTGCACACTTACAGATTCGGTGCATTAATGCACCGAATAATTGGTTGAAATTTCAACACATGCCTTGTGAAAGAGATGGCCACTTGACAAGCTATTAACCTCCGATTCAGGCTCGAATCGAGTCAGGCGAACAGAACAGTCATGCTCTGGCTGCTTGCACCTACATACATCATTGAACCGAATTGCCGGGGTCATACAACGAAACTCTCCAATGTGATAGTAATAAGGCTGAAATCAAATGATTCCGACGGGGTTTCAACAGAATCCAAGGGTGGTAGTGATGATTATGAGATGAGAGATGGAAACAGACAACATGAAGGATTATACAAACAAAGAGGTAGGTTCAATATGACCTTTCAGAAGCATTTTTCATAATCAAGATATAGCCATGTCGATATCCATCATCAAAGTTTTAACCATTCTCTCAACATAATCATAAACAGTGCCGATGGAGTTTCACAATACATTTGCAATATCGACCTTAAGCCTTGGCATTTCTGGTATAAAAAAGGGTATAAATCCATTAGGGTTTCGACGTCTACTGGGACATCCGTTCCGCTAAACTCAACGGCGGCCTCGAACTGACATTGGATTATTACTTCGCCCTCGTTGCAGATCAAGAAGTGGTACTACTGTTGGGGGATTACAAGAAGAAAGCGTTCAAGAGAACAAAATGCAGACCGGCATTGGTGGAACCACTGCTGTATTACAAGAAGGAAAACGTGTTTGCCAAGAAAACCTTCGCGACACGAGCTCAGTTCGGCTAGAAGCAAAAGGAGCACGATATCGTCGTGGAGAGCTCGACGAGCGGATCAAAAGACCCCAAAATGTGGATGAGCATGGACGGGGTAGTGTTGATACACGTTAGGAATTTGCAGTGGAAGTTCAGGGGAAACCAGTTGGTATTGGTGGATAAACAACCGGTGCAAGTGATGTGAGATGTGCATGATTGGTTGTTTACTTGTTTAGCAGCACCCGAATGGGTCACGGGTTGTTCATATTCACGCCGGTGGCAGCTGAAGTCGACAGTGACATCGAGGGAAGTGGCCATGGAGGGGACAGTGATACCAGCACCGGGAGTAGGTATTATTCTTCAGGCAGCCCCATTAATACTTGCGAGTTCAGCTTGTTTCTTTATGCATGGAAGATTGGGTGATAGTCACAGTCTGCAATTCTGTCAAGTTCCATTAAAATGAAAATGCTTTTACGGGGAGATAGTTTATAATCATTCATGTATATTGTATATTCTCCTTCGATTATAATGTAGATTATAATCGTTCAAGTTATTGAGGCAGATAGAGTTGATGCTTTCCCCATACACAGAAAGTTGCCACATGATTTAGAATCATTAACATATTCACTGTTCATATCCAATTGCATAATTGAAAAACCAAAAATTTAGTCTTTAATTAAGTAATTTGTTTGTTTGCGATTTTTCCTTATTTCTTCAATTCATCTTTCGTTTTAAATCTATCTTCTTCTTTAAATTCAGTTATTTCGGTTCAATAAGAGCATGTATTGTGTTTTCAAATCTTAAATTTCTGCTTGTATGTATGCATGAGTGTTCTATATTCGAATGATTTGGTGAGAAGACAATTCATTGATCCTTGACAAGTTTACATTTTCGAGTATGTAACAAAATTGTTTTTGGTTTCAGATTAAAGACAAATGTAGAATTCATTTGGGTTAGACTTTGATTTGTTTTGTTTTGTACTCTAATAAGATTTTGGAGGTCTTTTGATCTTGTTTGATTTGCATGATATGGATGTGAGTGCGCTGGATATTAGTGTTTCCTATGTGTGGGATAAAGCATGCTATAGAGTTCAAACTTGGGATTTCGTTGATTAGTTTGTTTGGACAAGCCACAAAACATGTAAACGGTACCATGTTAAACGATCTTAAATGTCCAAAATGGTTAGTTGAGTAATGAAGCCAAATGTTAACTTGATGTGATGAAGCGTAGTCAAATTTTAACTTGATGTAATGAAGCATGGTTCTGGTGTCTTTTGATGAATTAAGTATGTCTAAACATATTTATCCACTCAACACAACTTAGAAGGAAGGGAAAAATACGTAGAAATAAATAAATTAAATGTATAAATCTAATAGTAAAACCTGTCGACTTTTTGTGAAAATAATATTATCAATTTAACCAACAGAAACAAGGAGAGTCTGAGCTTGGAAACTAATCATAATTTCAGCTGCAACAGCCACGTTGTTGAGAAGCAGGGCCATCCCTTCCTCCATAGGCAGATGCTTGATTAACTTGTCCAATTTTAATGCCATAGGACTGCAAAAACAGATCGAACAACGTCAAGATTCATCCTAAGATTTCTTGTGAACCTAATTTGAAGCTAACCTCATTTGATATGTCAATAAATCCATCCCGAATTTTCTTGTCGATTTTTGAAGCTGTGCTTAGAAATGCCTGCAATAATCTTCTTGTCATAAGTTTTAGCCGAATGAAAGCTTATTTAGAGCATAAGAAGAGAAGTAAATGTTTTCACCTCCTCAACGTTTTGAGCCGTTTTGGCCGAGGCCTCCATGAATATGAGTCCATGTTCCCTGGCAAACTGCCCACCTTCCTCTGTGCTCACTGCCCTTCTATGAGCCAAATCACACTTGTTGCCAATAAGCATGACTGTCATATTTGCATTTGCATGCAGCCTCGCTTCCTCCAACCAGCTACCCAAGTGATTGAAAGTCTCCCTCCTGGGCATTTGTCATCAACCATATACAGATGCAGATTTGTTATTACTGCATCCAACGGCGTATATAAAATTGTCTATCTAAATAATATATGATCGGTTCTTGAACTTACTTAACTCAGAGTTCTGAAAAGAACAAATATATACCTAGTAATATCATAAACTAGAAGTGCACCCGCAGCACCACGGTAGTAAGACCTTGTAATGGATCTGAATGATTCTTGGCCTGCCTGCAAAAACAAAGCAAATTCAGCACCATAACTGAAAAAGAAACAACATGCTTCAGATGTTAAATGTCATAAATTGAGAGAAACATGTGTCCAACGTCACATTATATTCAGGGATGAATAGAGATGGGCTAACGGAGACGATCGTCTCATGAAAGCTTCAAATGCTCTTATAGTTTAAATGTTTCTTTTATATATTTTTTAATTAAAAATCTATTTTCATCGACTAAAATTTTATAATTTCATATCTAACATAAAATCATTTACATGAGAAAGTAACTTCATTCAAAAACATTTCAAAGCCTTTTAAAATAAAAGTTGAAAAAGCAACCGTATCCCAAATCTGAAGCTTTATTGGCTTGTTCTCAATAGTGATCATTCTGGCTCCAAATTCAACACCAATGGTTAAATCATGAACAGTCTGAAACCGTTTGTCAGTGAATTGCAAAAGAAGACATGATTTTCCGACTCCTGCAAGATCAATAGCAATGTTTTTAATACTGATTTTGTGAATCACAAAAGATGATCGGCGACGAACAGGTTGTTAAAATATGCATCGTCAATAATGAACATGTTTAAAAGTTTAATGCCAAAATCGATACACCCTAAAATTCAAATGTCAAGAACAGCGCCCTTTTGAACAGTCGTCACAAAGCGACGTTGGTTTTGTTCGCCTCGTTATAACCGAAAGATCTATTCATATCATTACAATTTGACTATCCACCAGAACTGAAGCTAAAACTAAAATCTAATATTATAATTGAAAATTTGAAAGTTTAAACACAACAGAAATCTTACCAGTATCTCCAATGATAATGTACTTGAAAAGGTAAGCGTACGACATCTGTTCTGGTCGTATTTGAAAGAATCCCAGATGCCCAAAACCTGAAACGTTTCTAATTTCGATTCATAAACAAACTATAATTCTATTACTCATAGATCCGTGAATTCAAATCAATGAAATTTACATAAGGAATTGTGTTAAATACTTTAAAAATTATTGATGAAATACTTTATGTAAAAGTAATATATTTTATTAAATAGTAAATGATTATAGACGATATGATCAAAGATTTAGGATCAGGTGGTCGAAATATATTTTTTAATGTTTGAATTATTTTCTCAAAATATTGTCTGGAATTGTTTTAAACAACCAAATATACATTGGAGAATTTATTGACGTTTTAAAATTTTAATTAAATTTATTATATTGTTATAGTCGTGGAAGATAAATATAGCTTATGTTGATTATGTTATAAATAGAATCTACACATGTCTTGCAGTTTTACAATGTATTACGAGCAATATGCAAATTACAACTACTCTAAATTTGTTCTTATAATCATCATCTTTTGTCTCCACTTCAGCAACACATAACATATGATCAACCTACTGATATGAATCATGTTACTGAAAATAAAAATGACACATTTTTACCATCATAAAACACTGTTGATTGCTCGATGCCTGAATGTTATTCTGTACATCGGTGTTAAAATGGAATAAAGTGTTTGAAGATTTTCAATCGCTTCAAATTGAAGTAAGAAGGATCGAATTGTAAAGGAAAGTAAACTTAATGGACCAAGTGTGAATTCTGGCCACAATTATCAGTGTTTCACATAGGTAAGGCAATACAATTTGATTCGGCTATCGAGTTCATGAAACTCTGGTATGATATTTCGAGCAATCCCCATGGTAAACTCAAGTGTATTTGGAGGTTTAACAACATAGTTTGAAATCAATGCAATTTAAATATAAACTTAAGAAGGTTAAAAAGAGGAAGCTAAAGAATATCATATTCTTGTTAAGAGATATAAATGAATATCATATTCTTGTTAAGAGATATAAAAGATTGAATTATAAATTTTGAGATTCAATGGTCGTCAGCAACAATGGTGAGCAATGGTTGAGGGCAGGAGACCTTAGGCGTTAAGAAAGGTTTTAGGTTTTTTTTTTATAGAATGTTAGAGTGAATGGAACAAAAATTTAAATCTAACTTGATATTTTGTCTAAAGTTTAGTTTTGTTTTATTTTAAGGTGTCATGCAATCATGATAACGAGAGTTAATAATTAATAATCAAGTTTTAATAGTCAATAATGTAAGTGAATAAAACATAGTTTTTCTAGGGTAAACTTTGTGAATGGTCTCTTTTATTTTCTATTTAACCGACTTTGATCACCGGTTTAAAAATTAAGCACGTTTGGTCCCTAACGTTATTGATCTGTTCGATTTTAGTCCCTCAGCTATTAACTTTGTTAACCCCTTAACAAAAGCCTGAGTTGGTAATTAAAAAATAAAAAGAAGAAGAAGAAACCCCAATAAGAATAATAACAAGTAGAAATAACTTGGATTTTTTTTTTTAAATAAACATGGATGTGTTTTTTTAATTTTTAATTATCATATAAGACTTCATTAATGGGTTAACGAACATTTAAGGTTGATGAACTTAAATTGGACAGACCGATAATGTAAATGATTAAACACGCTTAATTTTTAAATCGATAATCAAAGTTTGTCGGACAAAAAACAAAAGAGACTATTTACGTAATTTATCATTTTTTAAAATTTTGAAGACAAAAATAAAACTAAATAAAGCAAAAGTCATCATAATAGTATTTGAGTTTTTTTTTTAAGGTAAAGGAAAGTGATAATTCTTTTTATTTTCCCGATTAAAGACAATTTAGTCTTTTAATACCGGAGTGAGTCCGCCGGTATAACCATAAACTATTATTACTATTTTATTAATACAAACTAACTTAATCTCCAATAAAAAAACATATATCCATTAAAACAATATTTATTTCTTCACTTCATTCAAATTGAATTATATAACAAACTAAAAACAATAAAATAAAGCTAATTTATGTATTAAAATATAAATAATAAATAATACATGTACCAAATTAGCACAAGGTAGAAACTTTTGTTATCCTAAACACTTAAAAATCCTCAATTTGCATTTGTCATCTCTTATTGACAAATTATCGTAGTGGACTGCGTTTAAAATGGTTTCTCCATGCAACTAAAACCCTCAAACTAGAGTTCCACTAGGAATCAAGGCATCCTTTACTATCGTTACAATACCACTCTTTATGAAATATCCATCCGTTTCCTTTGCAGCTTCTTGCACATTGTCACTGTTAATGATCTGAAATTCCATTGCACCTCAATATTACTCATCGTTTTTCCCAAGGAGATGAAAAAAATAAAGACTAACCTTCACATCGTCGCCAATTCTAGCATTCTTGTCAATAATGGCTCTCTTGATGTGCGAATTCTTTCCTATACCAATTGGAACGCTCCCCTTTTCAGCTAGAAACTTTCTATCAGCCTCAGTCTGCAGGAAGAAGACAATGACGATTATTACCAATGAAAAATGTCAAAGGGGCTTGAGTGGTTAAAATGACGTTGTAGCACGACGTTCCAGTTATATTTGAGTATTTATTATCAAATGATTGAGATTTTTTCGACCATGTATTACCTCGTAATAATCTGCTCCCATCAGTAAGGTATCCTCTATGATTGCACCCTCTGAAATGCAAGATCGAAGACCCACAACTGAATGGCGAATTCTGCAGTTCTGCCAATCAACCCAACTTATCAAATATCCATTTTAAACCATTGGGAAATCAGAAAAAAAAACTAAGCCCCCCAAGAAACACACCTTAATAACACAGCCTTCACCGATAACACTATCTGTGACATCAGCATCCAGCATTTTGGATGGAGGCAAATAACGAGGCTGTGTGTAGATTGGAGATGAACGGTCATAGAAGCTGTGAGCAATACAAGTATCTAACTTATTCTTTCAAGGTGCTAAATGATAATATGCAGTGAAGAATCCATTAAAATACCTAAAATCTGGCACTGGCTTTTTGGTGATTCCCAGATTTGCATTGTAAAATGCCTCTATCGTACCAATGTCCTCCCAGTAGCCCTCATACAAGTAAGCTTGTACCTACATGAATTAACAAACAAACTACTTAGATTCAGAATGATAATGGACTGGTAATAGCCATGCATGCATGAAGTGAATGAATGCTTACCCTCATCCCAATTGAAGTAGCACCTGGAATGACTTCACTTCCAAAATCATTGGCGCCTGGGAACTTATTTGAAAGAAGATCCAACATCACGTTTTTACTCACAACATATATTCCCATACTAGCAATGAAAGGCATTTCTTTTGCTTTCTTATCATCAAGCCCTAAAATCGTCGTGTCTACCTAAACACAACACCATCAAAAATCAAAACCAAGAGCAGCAATGATCATAACCCTGAATATTGTTGTTCATGTGAAAATCTCATCATTCTACCTGCATAGCTTTCAGCTGGTCCCCTTTGGGCTTCTCAGAGAACTCAATTATTCGCCCGTCTTCATCAATCTTCATCAAACCAAATGCAGTGGCCCGTTTTTCATCCATCGGAAATGCAGCCACCGTAATGTCTGCATTTCTTTCTCTATGTGCCAGGATAAATCTTTCATAATCCATTCTATATAAGTGGTCCCCGGCAAGAACCAAAAACTCCAGAATATTATGCTCCTCAAACAGCCACAAATACTGCCTCACGGCATCTGCTGTCCCCTGTATACATTCGTTTTAAAAACGAAAAAATTAAAAACATAATTCATAAACACTACTTAAATTTTTATAAGTTGGTCTTCTCCTTGGCAAAAATATCCCGGTAGCTAACCTGGAACCAATTTGGGTTTTCAGGACTCTGCTGAGCAGCAAGAACTTCAACAAATCCTTCATTCTTATAACCACCCATGTTGCTCGAGTATGCCCGGGAAAGGTGGCGGTTGAGTGAAGCGGAATTGAACTGCGTCAGTACGTATATTTTAGATATATTACTGTTCAGGCAATTGCTGACGGGAATATCAATTAGCCTGTAATTTGCTCCCAACGGAACAGCTGGTTTTGCTCTCTTCTTTGTCAGTGGGTAAAGCCTTGTCCCTGCTCCGCCTCCTAATATAATCCCCAAGACACTCTGTCAAAACAATCACAATTTTCCAAACTTCCATAAATCAACAACAATAATAATAATAGAAAAGCGTCAATCGGGTGATCGGAAAAAAAAACGGAAAGTTACTCGACTAGTGTCCGGTTCAAGGCATGTCTGGGAGTTCCTGGAATCCGAAACGGCTTTTGGGGAGATGGTGAACGGAGTCCGTTTTGTTTGGTGGGAACCTGGAACGGTTGTGAAATCAACCTTGTCACCGAAAAGAGCGGAAGCGGAGAACGACAAGTTCGGAGGAGCAGTGGATGCACGGTGGCTCCGTGAAACGGAAGAACCGTTGATCGGTATGGTAGCGGACAACCTGAGAGCAGCCATGCACGCCATATGTGGTTTCAAGGTTTTACTCTAGAATGGGTGGCAGCTTTATGGATATGAAGTTTGATGAAGTAGTAGTTTTCATTCTAGGAAATATTTAAAGGGGATTTATGGGGCAAAATTAGTAATTGATTAACTTATGGCTGTTGTTTCACTCTACCTGCTTAAAATTCGTAACTACCCTTATGAAATGCAATTTATTTATCGTTTAATCAAAAACTATATTTATTTTTAGCTTTCAAGTTTGTTAATGCATTTGCAGCAGTTGCCTTTGACATCTAGCCAGCACTCAACAAATAATTGCACCCTATGTACTATATCTCAAATTTTGCTTCTGTATTTTGCATTTTTATAATTTTCACGTTAACCATACAACAAAACAAATTAATTTTTTAATGTAAAAAACATTTTACGTTTTTCCCATAACGTATATGGATTAATTCGTTTATTTTTGCACTTACGGAATAGCTAATCCCGTGATGGGAGAGACACTTGTCCGTAGTTCATGATTAAAAAAAAATCTAACTACTCTCTCCCTTTTCTTTCTATCATTGTATTTATAAATTAAATCAATTTTTCCTTCTTTGATTTCACTTAGCGTTTTGATATTGATTATTTATCGTTGGTTGTTTTACTTTTTTTTTTTTTAATAAAAATAATTATGTTTTTTGATACGTTTTATATCTGCCTTTATGATACATTTATCTCTTGTCTTTCGACTATTTTTTGTTTATTTTTTCTCATGGTTGGATTTGACATCGTTACAATTGATCAAGATAGTGTTTATTTATTATCATGTTGATTTTCCCTGCTTTCGACCATCGAATTGATTTGGATACGCGTTTTGCGATCGTGGATAGTCTTTTCACGTCACTTGACTTTGATTTGCGTTTTGCGATTTGTCGATGGTCTTTCAATAGCTCCATCCCTTTTTGTGGTTCATTTGCCGATGCAGTCAGATTTGTTTGTATATTTTTTTTATTCAAATATTTTGTTTAAATTATTAACCTTTTCTTTCTTTGGTCCTTGTGTAATTTAGTTGCCTAGTTTTTTTTGTCAATGGTTATAGAAAAATATCCTAATTATAATTTATTTTACGTTTACGTTTACAGTCATGTTTATAAATCTTTATTGTAACTCTAGATATTTTTGTATTTTTAATAAAACTAACGAGTTTCTATAAAAAAAAATTCTAATAGAGTTAATTATTTCTCTAGTTGTATGTTTGACTATAATTTTTTAAAAAAAATAAACTTGATTATTAAAAATATTCAATAATATTTTTAAATTTTTATTTATTTTAAAATGTTAAAATCTTTGAGTAACGATGAACTACAATTTTTTTATAACTTTTAAGATTGTGTTTTTCTATTATGATTTGTGTGATATTGATGTAAGATATTTTTTTTTTTGAAAATTTAGAAACGTTTCAAATGATTTTGCTAAATGAGTTAATGTTAATATTTAAAAATTTTAAGTTCATCATATTTGTGAGTCGTTATTCAAATATATTATTTATTTATTTATCTGTTGAAAGTAATTTTTTAAAGTTAAAATTATTAAAAATATACTTGAGATCATCAATGTCACAAGAAAAGTTGAGTGATCTAATCATTTTATGTATTGAGAAAAATATATTAAATCATATTGATGTAGATATTATTATTAGTGATTTTTGTATTTAAAAATATTTGTAGATTTTTTTGAATAGTTAGATGTTTAATAATTTGCTTGATATTATTCATTTAAAATTTGATGTATTTATTATATAGTTTATTAAATTAAATAATATGTAAATAAACTTATTATTAGAGGTCCAATTTTCAAATTTACTCTGGTAGTAAAATCTTATAGATGTGTCTATATACATTGTTGGCTTAAGGTATTAAGCAAAATCACAAGTAAAACGGGTGACGGGTGAATGAGAAGAGCAAAACAGTTACTTTTATCATTATAAATCAAATGACATGATGTTTTATATATAAATGTCGTGAAAACACAGCATTAAACCAAGATTTTTGGTGTGCAAAATCCATGAAAAGAAAGGAAAAGAAATTATTGAATTTGTCTCATCTACCACCAACCAATGTTTAGATAAGCTTCTTCTTTTGGAAGAATCGCTTCAAATACCACACTTGCAGGCCTGAGACTACGATGCATGTGCCCAATGACATGATGCTAAACCACGCAACTCTCGCGTTGGTGGTCTCACTCATGCTCCTCATCTCTACCTCTCTGTTTATCCATTATTAAGACATGAGATCAACTAAGTATGATGTTGACTTCACTTTAAAATTGCACAGGATGAACATGTACATTAACAATTACCTGCTTTTCAGATAGAGTAGGTTCTCATGAATGGCCTCTACGGCTCCTTCCAGTTTCCTCAGCTCGAGCTCGACCCCCTTTTAAATGTAAATTATCACGATGAAAGCACACGAGGTAAAAAGACTATCTCAAAATAAAAAATTAATTTCGAAAATAACACCACATTAATTTTTTTGGATTCACATTTTTTTTATGTTGGCGAAAGCAATATCTGTAGGCAGGGATGGAGTAAGGGACAGGTAGAGGTAGTTGCTCCTGGAAATTTAAAATTACCATATATTTTAGATTTTTTTTTTTAATAAAAATCTATTTTCGTCCCTTGAAAATGTATAAGTTCATCCCTTTTTTAAATTTTAAAATATCATTATCTCTAACACAAAATTATGCTTCCGTCCCTATTTGTAGGAAACACTTTTTAAAAGACGCATTCTACAAAAAAAAAAACACTTTGTGCCTGCCTAGTTCAATAGGGGCATAAATTAACAAAAAATGAAAAAAAAGAGAAAAAGTGAGGCTAAAATTATGAAAAATCTATATGAATTTTGTTAAAGAATGACAAACACGTGAAGTGCAAGTCAAAGACACGTAATTACAGAAACATAAGCGGAACAACAACACGAATTAACCTTATGTTCAATCACTTTTCACTCAATAAATTTATATTTAAAAAATTATATTTAAACACTTAAAAACTCACATATTTAAATAATGTGAGATTTAAAAAACATCATTAGCTTCTTAAATCCCACATTGTTTAGATATGGGATAAATATTTAAATATACTTTTTTAAACATATATTTATTGAATGATTAAAGATAAGATTAATATATGCAAGCCATCCTCGTCCGGTGTGTTTGTTCAAATACATATCTTCAAAGCGTACCACACACATTTATTCTTTTTGGACAAAGTTCACATAATTTTTCCGTACTATTGATCTTTCTTTTTTTTCATTTTAACCTAGACAGTGCTAACATTGTGGCACATAAACAAAAGACACTTGTGGCAAAAAAACGAATTTTCTGTAATATTTATCACGACGCATTGGGAGCACTGACCAGGACCAGCAACACGGTTTCCTTTCGGAATCCGGACACAAATAAAGGTGAAGAATGGAAATTTTAAAAACAACGTGCTCACCTCAAGTTTTTCTTTTCTGGCAACTGACTCCCAGTCTTTAGCTGCAATTCCAGTTTTCCAGTCAATGTTGACAACAATTTCACCAGTTGCACTAGAATGATTATCCGACCAGAAACATGCTAGGTAATTGCCAGCCTCCTCGGTCGTGAACGCAAATCGCCCGTACGTCACATTCTCCCGGTGATGAAGATCGTTTCCATACGGAGATGTCACCTACACAGTTAGAAACTCTGAGAGAATGCATCACAGTTCCCTCTTCAGAGATTAATGATTTATTGCAAACCATAAACCAAACCATGGGACGTTAACTTAATCTCCATGGCCAAACATGGTATTTGGAGATCAGAAAAAGGTTAAATGTAAGAAGATAGCATGACAATTTCATCTTCAACTTTCCATTCATCCACTATTTCTATGGGTTTTTTTTTTCAAATATTAACTCGAGAGAAATCATGTCCGCACATTGAAGTAAATTCCATGGGATCCCAAAAAAAATATGGACACAATTTCATACTACTAAAGAGCGAACACATTAAATTAAGGGACTAAATAAATTATTAATAAAAATATTAAAAAATATAAATTATATGAAAATTTGAAAATCTTAAAGTGTGACCACCCGTCAACCTATCTCAGTGATCGTATTTTGTTTAAAAGAAATGATTAATGTAATTCTATATCCCTGTTTTTCCATAATTTGCTAATGCTTACGATATTACAGGAAAAATGCAGAATTGTTCCCCAAAAACAAAATAATTCTACATTTCTATCGAGAGTAAGCAATTTCAAGCACAATCAACAACGAAATCTGAAACAAGAACAAAAATTCAAAATTGCACCCTTCTTTGTATTAAAATTATATATAAGAGCAAAGTTTAAACATTCCATTGATATTTCCTCATTCATATGAAACTCAGTATAAGCCGTATTAATTATTTATTAACCACACCTAAAAAGAAAAGAACAAATCCTAATAACCATTTCGTAACAAAGATCGAAAGAGGGAAACATCAAAACCTTGACGGCAACGGGAGCGGTTTGACCGTCGTCGACGGAAACCACGACGTAGTCGGCTAAAACAACGACGTTGCTGTGAATTTCCTCGGAGACGCACTTAGTACCAGTTTTGGGAAGATTCAACCAAATGGCGTCACCCACGGGAGCAGTACTCAAAGCCCACAGTAACATGACGAACAACGATGGCGATATCGTCATCGCCTTGGGCACGTTAGAATCCCTTTTCATCGCCAACATAAAGAAAATTCCTCTTTTTTTCCCCTACAATCTTAGGTCTTTATTAGGTGAGATCGGAAAATTTTCGATCAAAGGTCCAACACCATCGAGGCAAACGGCCACCTCCGCTTCAGTTTCCTTTTATTTTGTTAATGTCCTTTTTACAGTTTATATTTCAAATTCAATGTTGTATATTGCCATGTTGGCATTTCCTCCACTAAGATCTTTCCACGTCAATGTCTTGAGGTGTCCTATTAATATGACGTTTTCTCCATTAAAATGATAGTACATTACATCATTAGTCACTGAACTCTAGATTTATCTTGTTTTTTATCATTGAATTATAAAAAAGTTTCAATTTTATCCTAATTTAATTTAAATTTTTTGTCACTGAACCATTGAATCATTAATTACATGATGAGGTTATAATTATATTCTATTTTTATATCGAAAACATAGATTATTGTCTATTATATAGAGTGGTGTTTCTTCACAGAGAATGACATTTTACGTGGAGGATGATTTTTCTCGCAAGAGTATTGAAGATGTCTTGACTCTGAATTATCTCTACATCCTCATATATTCACATGGAGGGTTTTTAACGCTCTTCATGGTGTAATGATGTTGTTTTGATGTTTAAACGATAGTTAAGGATACTTTTTAGAGAAAATCGCCTCAGTGACCAAAAAAAAGTTATAATATACGATTTTAGCCAACTTTTTTTGGATTTGCCAAAATGACCAACAAAATCGCAACGCGAAATAAAAATCGCAACGCGATCCCCAGAATCGCAAATCAGTTTCCAGAATCGCAAATCAGTTTCCAAAATCGCAACGCGATTCTTGAAAATCGCGATGCGATAGTACAAATTCGCATTGCGATTTTCCATAATCGCAACGCGAATATGAAAATCGCAACGCGAACACATAAATCGCAACGCGTATCCGTAAATCGCAACGTGTATCCGTAAATCGCAACGCGTATGGGTAAATCGCAATGCGTATCCGTATATCGCAACGCGTATCCGTAAATCGCAACGATAATACATAAAATCGCAACGCGTATCCGTAAATCGCAACGCGATATTTAAAGCGCCATTATAATCGCTACGCGTATTTTATTTTCAAATTACAAAAAGAATATTAAGACAAAATCCCGTAATCGCAACTCATAACCTAAAACCTAAAATCACAACTCAGTCCCATCTCCATCTCTCACTCTCTACGGCGAAGAAATCCGTCCCCATCTCCGAAGATTTCCGTCCCCATCTCCGGCGAAATCCCTCACAACCATTCACGGTCAGAAATCCCTCACAATATTCAGAAATGGAAAATCAACCTCCGAGGGTTAGTTTTTTTAATTATTTTTATTTTGAAATGTTTGCATTATTGTAGGTTTTTCATATTGAAACTGATGATAAGTTTACTGGTCATTTCAATAATAGATTAACCATTTCACTTAGATTTCATTTCGCGTTACGATTCTGTCGTTGCGATTTTCATTTCGCGTTGCTATTCTCTCGTTGCGATTTTCAAGTTAGTATTTGTCTTTGTCTTTGTTCTGTCTTTTGGTTGAAGTAATGCAATCCATTCAAGTTTCAATTTGCAGAAGAGTCGCAACGAGATAAATGAAAATCGCAACGAGAGAATGACTGTCGCAACGAGAGAATCGCAACGCGAAATGAAAATCGCAACGAGAGAATCGCAACGCGAAACCAAAATCGCATTGCGATTTTCATTTCGCGTTGCGATTCTCTCGTTGCGATTTTCATTTCGCGTTGCGATTCTCTCGTTGCGATTGTCATCTCGCGTTGCGATTCTCTCGTTGCGATTTTCATTTCAACCAAAAGACAAAACAGTGTTGCAAATTTTAGTTTCAAGAATAAACTACTACTTTTTATGTTTATTGTTTTTGGTATATCTTCACAGTGTAGTTTTTGGTATATCTAACTTGGTATGTTTATTGTTTTTGTAGAAATTTTTTTCGGCTCAATTGACCTTGAGAAATAAAGTCAGCCTGGCCACTACAATTGCAAAGAAGCTTTCACCTGCTCAAAGACAATTGTTTGAGGAAACCTGCTTCGGGCCATGGCTGAGAGTACAGCATCCGGGTGGAGATGCTAATTTGACCCATTTGTGGCTTCAGACCATGACATCAAATCTACCCGACAGTATACAACGTGGTGAGGAAGAGATATGGTTTCATTTTCCACCAGCGTATACTTGCTTTGGGCGGAAGGAGTTCTGCTTAATCACTGGTCTACGATTCGGACACGATGATGTAGGCCGGTACACTCGTCATATCGCCCGCCCATCATGGTTATCCCGGGTTTTTCCGGATGAGTCAATGGAGAAGCCGAACCTACATGTCGACGACCTGAAGAAATTATTTAATAAGAAAGCTGGTTTCACTCGGATGGAAGACGTCGATGTTGTCCGAGTATGCCTTCTACTACTTGTGTATGCCGGCTTTTTAGGCAGAGAGGCCAGACAACCTATTCATCGGGAGCTAATAATATTGGTAGAGGACCTGAATGCATGGAATCTGTTTCCGTGGGGTTCGTATATATGGAAAGCTACCTGGACTAAGTTGTCGTCTGCCTTTGATGACCGCAAAAGTTTGCGGGGCGATGGGTCCAAATACACTTTGTCAGGCTTTGTTTGGGCCTTTAAGGTAAGAATTTCTATATAATGTTTCTAAAATTATAATTAATTATTTAACAATTACTAATTTTGTTATTATATTGTTTGTAGATTTGGATATTCGAGGCTTTCCCCAGCATGCGTACATATGCAATAAAAACGTCAAATGATATTCCCAGGGCTATTTCCTGGAAGAGGAAAACTCTGTTGGATTGGGAAGACTTAATACCATATGCCACAATAAATAATGTAAGTTAACACAAATACTTTCATATAATATATAAACAAGTTATTAATAGTAGACGTTTAACTTTGTTTGAGTTTTTATATTTTAGGAGGCCAACATTCCATTACAAAGACTGACACCCACGGAGGAAGAGCTTGCCACTGATTGGTGGCAAGCTAGTCAGAATTTTTTTGATGGCACGGATGATGAGCAGCATCCACTTCCTCCAATTCGAGAGCCATCACCTCACCTAGAGCCATCACCCGATCGACCCGACTATACATCTCTAGAACGAGAGCCATCACCTATCCCGTCACATCATCGAGCCTCTTCTCCACCATCACCTCATGATAGGCGACCGGCAAAGATGCCACGACTCCTATCTCCCTGTTCTCCACCTCCACCTCAACGGGATGAGTCAAGGGAGTTACGTGATGAGGTCAATGCCTTGCGTGAGGAGATCGGTACTCTACGCGATAACGATGGTGCATGGCGTGTGGAGGTGTCAACTTTACGTGGTGAGGTTGCCGCTCTACGTGAGATGATAGTATCGTTGCAGAATGAGGTTCATACTCTACGCAACGAGGTAAGTTTAAGATTTTCCATATTTAACTTAATGATAAATTTACTCGTAATTTCACTTAGATTAGCCATTTCACTTAGATTGCTTAGTAAATTTATTCGGTTGCTGCCAATTCTGCTAAACTGTGTATTCTTTAACACTGTGAAATAGTATTTGTCTTTGTTTTGTCTTTTGGTTGAAAGTAAATTTGTTCGGTTGCTGCCAATTCTGCTAAACTGTATATTCTTTAACACTGTGAAATATATTTGTCTTTGTTTTGTCTTTTGGTTGAAAGTAAATTTGTTCGGTTGCTGCCAATTCTGCTAAACTGTGTATTCTTTAACACTGTGAAATAGTATTTGTCTTTGTTTTGTCTTTTGGTTGAAAGTAAATTTGTTCGGTTGCTGCCAATTCTGCTAAACTGTGTATTCTTTAACACTGTGAAATATATTGTCTTTGTTTTGTCTTTTGGTTGAAAGTAAATTTGTTCGGTTGCTGCCAATTCTGCTAAACTGTGTATTCTTTAACACTGTGAAATAGTATTTGTCTTTGTTTTGTCTTTTGGTTGAAAGTAAATTTATCCATTCAAGTTTCAATTTGCAGAAGAAGAAATAGTTTACTTTCGCAACACGAAACTTAAAATCGCAACGCGAAACCAAAATCGCAACGCGAAATGAAAATCGCAACGACAGAATCGCAACGCGAAACCAAAATCGCAACGACAAGATCGCAACGCGAAACCAAAATCGCATTGCGATTTTCATTTCGCGTTGCGATTCTTTCGTTGCGATTTTCATTTCGCATTGCGATTCTGTCGTTGCGATTTTCATTTCGCGTTGCGATTTTGGTTTCGCGTTGCGATTTTAAGTTTCGTGTTGCGAAAGTAAACTATTTCTTCTTCTGCAAATTGAAACTTGAATGGATTGCATTACTTCAACCAATAGACAAAACAAAGACAAATACTAACTTCAGGGTATTAGTTTGAAACATATTTTTCTTTGTTATCTGATGCATTTTGTGAACTATGATAGAATAATGACTTGGGTGAATACAATGCAAGTTTGAAACATATTTGTCTTTGTTTTCACTGTTTAAATATCATGTCTGTTTATTTACTGATTTTTGTATTTAATTATTTAGCGGCCCGATAGAGTGGATGCTTTACGTCGGGTTATGCTTGCACGACGGAGTTCACGCATCAGACAGCGTGCACGTGCTATTAAGTCTCCGTACACCCCAATAGTGCGAAGACACCGCAAGAAGAAGCATGACTCGCCTGTCATCCCTCAAGAGTCCACTCCTATCGTTGAAGAGGCCCCCCATATCATTCCTCGAGAGTCCCCTCCCACCGTTCAAGAGGCCACTGTCATCATTGAAGAGGTCCCTCCCACCATTCAAGAGCCCGATTCACATGGCGTCATATGTAGGCTTCTTGAGAAACCCTCTGTCGTGCCGGACATGATGGATTCAAGTTGGCTCTCGTATGAGTTACCGGCCAGTACCATACCGGTATCTGAAGAGGAGAGGGAACAACTACCGGACACAATTTTGGATAACACCCTTTGGGCTAAGACCGCAGTTGATTTTATCTACATGAGCGGAGCAAGGGGTGTTTCACTGACATATGCAAGCTCACCGATGATATCTTTTTGT